GTGGGCTATTATGCAATTAAGGAAAAGTGAAATTTTAATTTTATGTTCTTTTCTGAGCTGCTGGAAAATCTGGTAAATCCAGTACCTCATTGGATTGGGGAAAGGATTTGGGAAGAGAAGATCAAGAAATAATTTCCTCACAGGAACTGTGGCAGGGAACACTAAACAAAGCACTCTGAGCAAGACACCAAACAAGCCTCTTTCACAGGAAGAGAAGGAAGTTAACAATGAATGTCTACTATTCCCTCGTTTCTTCATTAACAAAGATGTGGCAACTGAAGATTCGATAATGACTACGACTAAAAAGGTCTCTCCTTTCAAGAAGCTGTCATTCTACTAGGAGAATAACACATAAAACTGAAAAACAAATGAGTGAATGTGATAATGTCATATTGTCGAGTGGGACAGATTTACAGTCAAGACGGTCTATAAGAAAATACTTTGGGGATACCTTCCTTCTCCAAATGTAGCTCTGAAAGAGAAAACACGAATGTGAAAATTAAAGACCCAGTTGTGCTCAAAAACAAAATAAATATCTTCATGGATGAGAGCATGAACAAAATAAATATCTTCATGGATGAGAGCAGAAACATGTAATGGAAAGGAAGTGGAAGCTGTGGACTTTTGTGGGGCTTTGGGTCCAGAAAAAGGCAGAGAAAACTAGAAGCTCAAATTCTAAGGGGGTAAATACAGATTTAAAGTGTCCATCCAAGAAAAGAGTGTTGAACATGGGCTCACTGCTTGAAATTACGCCCAGGTACCGGGATCTCCTGCTTATAAAGGAAGCTGAAATAACCTGGCATCGATCACGGCCCGAGACTATGGCTTCTTAAAGTATTATATCCAGGTAGGTGAGAGGATACAAACTAAACTTCACTGGCAACTGATGCTCAGCATCCCTTACTCTGGGGACCGGATCTGCATCGTCACTGATATGATTAAATGAAGGTGCTCCAAAGTGTCAGCATTAAGTCCTGAATGTGAACCTATAGTCCGGGGCGTCAGGAGGAGGCAGATGAAAAACTGTTAGGCAGGAAAGGGTAAGGACACGCAGAGAAAAGGAAGATAAAAAAAATCCGAGCCACTCAAGAGGAGCTTACAAATCAATATTCCAAAACACAGAAAAAACTGAATTCATTCCTGACAAAATGAAACTAAGAAATTTAAAAAGTATTTAAAAGTATGTTTAGAGTCCACAAATACATAATGGAAAGGATAACATTAAAGGAATAAGAAAACAAGATACAAAAACAGGTGGAGTTGAAATAAGCTCAAATAGAGATAAATAAGCAATGAGAAATCCTAGAAGTGAAAAATAAAGCTATTGAAATAAAACATTCAATGGACAGGAAAAATTCTAGAGTGGGCACAGAGGAAAAGAGAAAAAAATAAACTGGAGGATGGTTCTGATTAATTACCTAAAACTCAGCATGGAGATAATGAGACAAACATATTTTCTAAAAAGCAATTGAAAAACATGGAAAATGAGAGATTAAGTGGCCAAATATATCCAATAGAAATTAAGAAGAAAAAAATTTCAAGGAAATGGAGAAAAAGTAATACTTGGGGAGCTACAGATGCCAGAATTAAAGATCCGTGTTTTCACATGAAAGTGCAAATAGGAGTGAGTAGGTAGGTGTATGCCTAAGAAGGTGAGAGAACACTGAAGAATAGGTTCTGGTTCTGGTTCTGGTTCTGGTTCTGGTGGCTTCCTCCCTCAGGAGCAATCCTGGAGATACTATAAAGAGACGACATTGAAATAAGAAGAAATTCGAGAGGTTGCTGGGGAGTTGGAGGGGCCGTTCTGAACTGGTTTGTTTGGGGGTGCGGGGAGCCAGTGCTGGCTTTAGCCTGGGGCAGAAGGTGGCTTGTGCACTGGAAGGATAAAATAAGGAAGAAGTCGGTAGCATTACCCCCACCATCCGTTGCCTTGGAACCTGCCTGCGCCCCTGCTCTGACTGGGACAGCTGTGCTCAGGAGTGACTCTGGTCAGTACGGAAGTCCTGAGTGGGTAAGGAGATGAGAACAGTCAGTGGGAACCTCTACGATCCCCCAAGGCAGGCGGTTTACAATTTAAGGAGTGTCTCCCCTAAAGCTGCCTCTTCCTGGGGTGCTAAGAATAAATATCTAACTTGAGGCATAGATCCTTAGAGCAGGGAATGATTAACTCTCATATCCTTGGAGGAAGTGGGGAGGGGAGAGAAGTGCCCTCTACCCTAGAGGCCACTTCCCCCACCTCCCACGGAAGCCGATAGGGCTGTCGCAGGCAAAGGTCTGGCCTTCAGCAGCCCTAATGAGAGCAGCCATAACCCATAGGGGTAACCAGTCATTTGAGGATCAAAATTATTTCGCAAGAAAAATTAAAAACTGAATTATAGTTTTCATCGGAAACACAGATATTAGAAAAGGTGGACCAAGAATTTAAAATAAGTTTAATATACATACTAAAATAAATAAGATATAAGCAATATGAAACAGGAACAAACACAATAAAAAGAATGAAATAGAGATATTAAATATCAAATGTTAAAATAGAATGTTGAAGCAGGGAACAGAGATGGGATAAATAGTGGAATGACTATGGCTGAGAACGAATTAGTAAACTGGAAGATCATACTGAGGAACTCTAGAAGAAGAAAAAAGAAAACAAAAAGAAAAATAGAAACTTTAAAGAAAAGTTAAGAGATAGAAAGATAGAAAGAAAATTACTAAGATCCAGATAAGAAGAATCTCAAAAAGAGAGAAAAATGAAAACAGTAGGAAATCTAGGAACCAGAGATAACTTTCTTAGAATTAAATAGAGAGGAAAGACTTCCTCCTGGGAAGTCTCATAGGGTGACAAACCAGAGAGATAAGGAAAATTCACACTTAAGCTATTACAGTAAAATTTAAGTCTTTTCAGCCAAAGGTGTTGAAACAATTGGACATCTGTAGACAAAAAAAAAAAGTTGTGTTTTTTTTCAAGGAACCCTGACCTATACTTTACTCCTTATACAAAAATGAATTCAAAATAGATCACAGACCTAAATGTAAAACATAAAACTACAAGAAGGAAATAAGAGAACCATAAAATAAAAAATTGATAAACTGGACTTCATCGAAATTTAAAACTTTTGCCATGGAAGATAATTGTGACAAAAAAAAAAAGTTGTGTTTTTTTTCAAGGAACCCTGACCTATACTTTACTCCTTATACAAAAATGAATTCAAAATAGATCACAGACCTAAATGTAAAACATAAAACTACAAGAAGGAAATAAGAGAACCATAAAATAAAAAATTGATAAACTGGACTTCATCGAAATTTAAAACTTTTGCTGTGGACGATAATTGTTAAAAAGAAAAGAAAAGCCACAGACTGGAAGAAAATGTATGCAGATCACATCTCTGACAAAGGATTTGTATCCAGAATATATGAAGAACCCTCAAAACTCAATGGTAAAAACAAAACAAAACAAAACAAAACCAATCCAATTAGAAAGCGAGCAAAATATATGAACATATATTTTACCAAAGAGAAGTTATGATGGCATAAATAAGCACATGAAAAGAAAGATATTCAACATCATTAGCCATTTGGGAAACACAAAATCACAATGAGATGTCACTACAAATGTATTACAATAGCTAAAATAAAAAACAGTGGTAATAACAAACAAAAAACTGGTGCAGAGAACCTGGATCTCTCACGCACTGCTGGTGGGAATGGAAAACGGTACAGCCACTATGGAAAACGGTTTGACAGTTTCTTACAAAACTCAGTATGCACTTACCATACGACCCAGCAGTCACACTCCTGGAATTTATCCCAGAGATAAGAAAACTTTACATATAAAAACCTGTACACAAATGTTCACAGCAGCTTTATGCATAAATAGCGCAAACTAGAAACACCCAAATCTCTTTCAATGGATTGTTGAATAAATGGTTGAACGGTTGAATAAACTCTAGGACATCTATAAAATGGGATGCTACTCAACAACAAAAAGGAATGAATTATTGATATGGATCTCAAGAGCATTACGCTGAGTGAAAAAGAAAATCTATCTCAAAGGTTACATATTGTCTGGGTCCATTTATATAACATTCTAGAAATAACAACTATAGAGATGGAAAAAAGATCAGTGGTTGCCAGGGGCTTTGACTGGGGGTGGTGAGATGGGGTGGGTAACATAAGGGACTACTCTTGTGGGGATAGCACCGTTCCGTATCTTGATTTGGGTACTGGTTGCATGAATCTATACTTGAGGATAAAATTGCATAGAACACACACACAGAGGTTAAAAAAACTGACTACTGAACTGAAAATTTGAAAACTGACTAAGGTCTGTAGTCTAGTCGGCAGTCACAAACCAATGTCCGCTTCCTGGTTTGATGTTGTATGACAGCTATATAAAATGTCAACACCGAGGGAAGCTGGGTGAAGGGTACCTGGGACCGTCCTATTTCTACACCTTCCTATAAATCTATAATTATTTCATGCCAAGATGTTTTTTAAAATGAGTAGAGAAAGATGACTGTTTAATAAATTAAATATTGTTTATCCACAGGAGTTCAAACCAAATAAGACCCCTATCTTACACAATATAGTAAAATTATAGAAGGCATAGGGATTTCAAGATTTAGAAGAAAAATATGAGATCTTTATTATATTAGGATAAAAAAAGAAATTCTTAAATAGCACAAACAATAAAGGAAAACTTTGGTAATTTAACTTTATTCTTATTGAACACTCTGTATAACAAAGACACCAAAAACAAAGTTAACAGACAAGCACAGGTTGTCTTAGAACACATGAAGCTCAAAAAGGCAAGAAAACAAATTCTCCCCTACAGCCTGCAGAAAGGGATGCAGCTCTACAGAACCCTTGATTTGAGCCCAGTGAGACCATGTCAGCGTCTAAACGCCAAAACGGTAAGATAAAGCGTCTGTATTGACGTAAGGCACCGTGTTTGCGGTAACTCATCAGAGCAGCAACAGGAAAGCACTGCAGTGACTTACCTCTGTTGACTTCCAAGCATTAAACTCGAGTGGCAGTGTTTCCTGGGACAACACGGTTCCACTAGACAACTGGATGTCTTGGCACTGCTCTTGTTTGAATCCTGCCTTGGCAGCGTTTTCTGTCAATGACACAAAGCTAAGATTTTACCTTGGCAAAGAACAGTAATGTTTTTACATTAGTTCGCAATTTTTAAGTTAATCACTTCTGAAGACCCATTCCGTCTACAAAATATACTTCATCTGCCAATGGTTATCTAGGAATATTAATCATTTTAATATATCACTTAATAACAATTGACAATATATCTCTTTATAATTATTTTAACGTATCCGTTTATAACCAGATTTAAAAAATACAACTTCAATTCTAGCCCTTTCTCCCATCAACAATTCTATTTTATAACTTTATTATCTGAAACATCTTTTTAAAATAAAGTATAATATAGTATAGAAAATAGTTTGAAAATGTGAAAATGATTCAAATGAAATTTTAGCAAAGCAGGAATAACAACTATAATGATTCTAAGCAACATTTAAAAGAACCTTATTACTGTTGTGTGAATGTCATCCATTCTAAGCAAAACTAATCAGAAATGTACATATTATTTGATAAGAAAAAACCTTTAAATTTTTTAAACTTAAAAAGAATATGCCAATGAAAATAAACTGATATTTGTGCCTGTATATTTTTGCTGAATTTAATGTTTTTTGTAGTCTTAACATCATTTTCCTTCCATGTTAGTTACTATGTAAACAAAGTATTAGAGCCAACTATATCTCAGCATATTATTAGGTGCAATTAGAGATATAAGAAAGCTATTTTCAAACTGACGTATGCACACCATTGGAGGTACTGAAAGAATTTCCAAAGGCTAGGTGGGCACAGATAATCTTAAAGAATCAATGTCCAGATTCACAACTTCTCTATATATTCTTTCCAAAAACTGATCTGCCTGAGAATGCAACTGTGTGGAAGCATCAGGCTAGTTCTTTCCCCCTTCCCTTTCATAATCTATTTTCTCCTACTTAATAAAGAAAGACATATCCTTTACCCAGTATTATTATGGTATATCTTCCCTTAAGGTGCAAATGTGAGAATCTCTAAGGCATCAAACAGTAGTAAAAAAGACTGGGTGGAGAAGCAATTTAATCAAGGCACAAAAAACCCAAAGTAGAGCTTCGAAGTTTGTTTTGTCTTACACATTTCATTTAATGGCAAAGCGTGACATAAGCAACAGGGAATTTTGGTCCAGACCAGGATGTCTGGTATTGTAGTATGGAGAAGCAGGATAGTTGACACGTTTCACTTAATGTCAGGACAGCTGACAAGTTCCAAACATTTAGTGCCCCTGTGCTACTGTCAAAGAACACACCACTCCTGAGGAAGAATCCCATGAGAGGAAAGCAAAGGAAGCAAGGGAGGCGGGGACCCCTATGTCATCGATGCAACGACCTTATGAAAGGCTTCGCGCCTTGGCTGTCTGTCTTAGAAAGAGAGTTCAAGAGTGTGACTGCAACTAGAGTGACGTTTATTTACACATTTATTTGAATAAATAAAGTAAGATATTTCCTGAAGTTTAAATCTGACGTGGCTGGTTGTTTTGACAATAATGGCTGGTTTTGCCAACTAGGTAAATATGATAAATAATTTCCAAAAATTGAATGAACCAAACCTGCAAAGTTGATGAAAATATGTTTAAAACATGACACAATAAAATCATTTTCTCAAGCAATTACTGTATTGACAGGCATGTTGTGATTAATGTTTTTGTTTTTTCCATACTTCCTGAGTATATTGTGTTAAAGCGTAACAGGTATAATTAAGTGATTTGCTAAATTTGAGTAAAACATTTTTGGTATTATTCTCAGAACCTGAGAAAGTAAATTACTCCTAATGACTGTTTAACAAACCTTTTCCCAAGTAGGGAGTTTCTAATCCTTTCCTTCCAACGACACTGAAAAAAGACCTAATCAAGTTAACAGTTGACAAGAGATGAAAAACATTTTTATAATGAATCACTACATAATTTTTGGCATATTACTTGGAAGGAAGTCATTGAGTTGATTGACATTGCTGTAATAACACATCTACTATTCCCACCTACGATTTTATGTGAACAAGTGTTTGCAGCATTTACATATATAAAAATGTAAAACAGAAACAATTTATGCTGAACCCTGCTTATTTCTAGCAATAAGTAATATTCATATGTGGGTAAATGAACAGTTCCATTTACCTCATAAAAACATGTATTTCCAATAAAATTGTACCCTTTATGTTTAATAAGTATTTATAAAAATTTATAATACACTTCTGTGATTTTGGTTTTGCTAAAAATAATTGAAATGACAAGTCAATCTAGAAGGAATATTTTACCACTTAAAGCCTCTGGTCACAGAAAATTTAGAAAAATAATTTCAACTTATGTACGTATTTGATGTAGGGAAGACTTTCAAGCAAAAAAATACTTTTTATTCAAATAAAATTCTGTGAGGGATGTGGAATAGAAATATGACTTCAAGTAGAAAAGAGAATGATGTAAAAATTCCAACAGTTAAAGACTCGGTGTGTTTTTTCAAATGAATGACTACGAGTATTAATCACAATGGTATTTAGATTCCTTTAGTTACCCTCAATAGTCTCAAGTAGCACTTTTGTTTATTTTGTATTCTTTTGTCTTTAACATCAATATCTTGAATTGTATTTACTTAAACTTATAATAAAATTTCATATGTCAACTTAAAAATGTGTAAGGAGGTATGTAATTTTTCAAAATCATTTTAAGGTTTATGTAAGAAAAATAGCTTGAAAAGCTATGGTATAAGACTTGGTCCTTACCTTCAAAAAATGTATAGCCTGACTGAGAAGTTATGTCTAACATGCAGACTTACAGGAAATAATCAGAGGAGAATAATTACATGCGAACTTTCTCAAATTAACTTTAGGACTAGACATGCTAAGGAGGAAAAAAAATCAATGTATACCGGAGTAATCAGAAAGAGCCTCAAATAGCAAGTAAAATTTGAACATGCTTTGAAGGATGGCTAGGATCCTGATAAGTGTAGAGGAAGAAATTATTCCAAGCAGAAGGAACTACATGGGCAAAGAAGCAAGTCTGGTACATATGAAAGATACTGAGGAAAGAATAAGAACTTCACATTAAAGGTTCTAACTTTAATTTTCTTGTAACTTCACATGAAAATGAATAATTAAAATGAGTTTCTTTTGGACTTGGAGATTTTATAATTAATAGTGGCAAACAGCAGTGGTTTGAGGCTTAGATCATTTATGTACTTTCATAAATGATTTAATCCGGAATTGTATTATCACTCTTTGGGAATTCAGAAGCAGAATCATCCTTGAAATGCTATGAACCGAGTTTTTAGACATCACAGAAGCAGAATAATAAAAATTTCAGGAAGTCAATTTTGAGGTAAAGTGTGAGGAAAACTGAAGAATATCAACTGTGAATGAAAAAATCTTGCATAGGGATGCATTTTTATCTTAGAATAGCCAAAATGTTATAAACCTATATTAAATAATCTTATAGGGGCAAGAAGGAAGGCAGTTATAATATCGTGAGTCTATGGAAACGTATTCAGAAATTTTTTAGTTGCAGGCAACACACTGGAAGTGAGGTGTGCTTAATTAAATGAGATGATGATTACGCAACATTTATTTCTGGATGTTCACAAGCCAGAGGAAGGGGAGAACACACATTTGGTTCCTTAGTGGAAATGAAGTCCCTTTGGTATCATAAACTATCAACTGAGACTATGAACTCACAAGGCAAGGAGGACTAGTGTGTGAGTGAGAAACCTCAGAGGAAAAAGCGAGGATGCAACAGGAAATGACGCTCCTGAGTCATTCGACGATGAGTGCTTGGATGCCGAGGCTGTAGGTGCTTTGTAAAACTATCTAGAGAGAAGCCATCGATCTCGTCGAGCCTGTGCCACTTCGATAATCCCGCAGAGCAGAATTGGTAAACCCTGTGATATTTCTTAGATGAGATATCAAACTGACGTTCGCGCTACCAGACATTAACATTGCAACAGCATGTTTTTGGAAATAAAATGCTCCATAAACTGAACAAATTCCCAAATTTTTCCATTTATTATTTAGTATCTAGTAAACAGTGTTACTATGTATTGACAGTGTCCTCTCGGGTATAATTTAAGTTAATCAGTCATTTACTTAACAAAATTATTTTTTAAAAATAAACAAATGTATCCTTCATAGAAAATAGTCATTAGGCTAGTGAAAAATTGATAAGACATGTAAGTCTCATAGTAGTTAAGTTTATACCTAACTTTTGCAGGATCATGAGTTTGGAGTCCTAACAATTTCATTGTCTTGGGGCATAATTATACTTCAGCATCTTCAAATAATATTTGTCCTAATTTTTTAAACTGCCATTTTATAATAATTTCAAACTTAAAGTTGCAAGAGCTGTACAAAGAACTATATACTCTTCCTCCAGATTCACCAATTGTTCACATTTTGCCCCATTTGCTTTATAATTCTCTTTTTTCATTTACGTACACATATTATGATAGCTCTATAATTTAAATCTTGAGGAAAAGCCATAGTCCTAGGCTGGGTTCCCCAGGAAACAGTCGCCGTGGCTCAGATTTGTATGAGAGAGATTCACGAGGGGGTGTCCCCAGAAACAGCACGTGTGAGGAGGGCGAGAGGCGAGAAGAGGCCAGGGAGAGACTGAACTGTGGCGGCTGCAACAGAGGCCTCAGCCAACCCTACCAGAGGTTTTGGGGCTGGGATGGCTCTTCACAGCTGTCCTGCCTTGAAGCAAGGGGACTGGCCCACATCTACAGGTCACTGGATGTAGCTTCTCTCTGGAAGTGGGCAAAGAGCCTGGGCAAAGAGGCTCTCTTCAGCTGTTGGGAAATCCCAGAGGACTCAGGACAGCCCTGAGTCACCAACTGTCCCAGCAGGACTGAATGCCTTGATCTTGAAGTGGGAATCTGGGGGCCGGGGGGGAACCACAGCACCCACTACAGGCACAACCTCTAGGATCCTGTTTACTTCTGAGAAATGCTGCAGAGGGACAGGAGACAGAGTGTAAGTACTGTAAACCTTGTCTGAAAGGTGAATTTTGAC